ACTGCTTTTGGATTTTTGTTCAGAATTCTTTGTTGAATGCCTGACAAATGACCTGATATGATAGCAGTATTATCATAACATTGTGAACAACAATCATTCAATAAAATTCCATCCACTTCTAATTTTGGGCTTATTGTTTTCTCAATATTGGCAGTGTCTTTTTCCTTTATCTGTATAAAGTCAATAAATGACTTTCTGACTTCTACTTTTCTTGTCTTAAAGTCAATGTCAACAAACCGAATCACTTGGGGCAATTGCTCACGATGGGCTAAATCAGGTGTGGAATCAAACAGAATACCACAGTATTTGTTTCTACGAATTGCTGACAAACAATAATTTCGCGGATGTGAAGCCATGAGATTTATAAACTCATTTTGGATTTCAGGAGAAAGATAAGATGTTGAAGTTTGCTTGTTTTTAACACACTCTAAATGCTCTCTCATTACTGGATCATACTTTGCTAATAACTGCAAAAGTGACAGGAAATTTCCAGGGTTTTCGTTTGAGGTTATGTCCTCAGTATGACCACAAAATGCAAGATTCTGAGTAGCTAAATATTGTGTACAATCCAGCAACTATTGCAGTACATCTCTATGTTTATTTTTTCTTGATGGATTTGCCTTTGCAGCTCTTCATCAATGCCACTTTGAAGACGAATAAGGCGTTCAGTTTCTTTCCAAACAGCAAATAACTCAATAACTGTCACTATTTTCATGGGCATTTAACTTTTCAATTTTTTCCACTAAGAGAATCCACCCTGTGTTTTGAAAGCAGACCGACTATCGGATCTCATAAATGTAGATGAAAAAAAGAAGACAACAAAAGCAGTAGGCTGCTTTGTGTAGAGGTGAATACACCAACCAGGAACTGTTGATTTCTTGTCCATTCAGAAGGCGTTGTTTGAACCATGTGAAATTCATGTGCTCCAACTTTAACAATCTCTGTGCAATGTGCATGTGTTACAACTGCTGAGCCTGTTGTATCAAACTTCATAAATCCAATATCCCTGTGTGTTAAAATATTTATTAGGTCATCCTCTTTTAGCTTGGCAACACTATTCTGTGGATTTGTTTCTGACAAAGTGGAATCCTCTTGTTTATTATTATTGTAGCTTTCAACAGGACAGAGAACAGTTTCTCCATTGTTTTCTTTTTCAAATGAAATAGCATGTTCACAATCTTGCACTTTGACCTCTTTGTTGCCATCAAAAGGAACAGATATTGGCTTACTGGTGTTATCACTTCCAGCAGAGAAAGCTCTCATCAATTTGCTTGACTCCACCATCAAAGATGCAAATTGTGCAGGTTTTTTTGCATCCCTGTGTCCCACTTTTTTTTTCGACATAATGGG